AGGTCTATAAAGTGCTTTATGTATGTTATCTCATTTGATCCCCATAACGAACCAGTGAAGTAGGTGTTATCATTATCTCCATTTTACTGATGAGGAAACTAAGGCTGTCAGAGGTTAACTGACTTGCCCAGAGTTGAGGAGCTACCAAGTGTCTGAGGCAATATTTGAACTCATGTCTTCTGAGTCTAAGTCTGGCTCTCTCTCCACTACTAAACTAATGCCAGTAAGCTCAGACTACAGAGGTGTCTTAAAAAATTAGCTTCAATCCAGCTTCCTTTCCAATGGGGCTGTTTCAGGGATCTAGACCTAAAGTAACACACTTCTAGCAGGTGATTGCTCCAGGAAACTGAAAGATTAGTACTATCAGGTGAAAAATCCCCAGAAGATAAAGAAATGCTGTAGACTATGCTAGTGGGTGGGGTTTAACATCAAAACTGCATGTAATTCCTGGCTCTAAACCAGGACTGCAGTCACACTTCATTCTTTCTTTTTTTTTTTTAGGCTGCAGTCACACTTCAGAGGCACAGTCTGGCTCCAGACAGCTTCTGACCCAGAGACCACAGGGCAGTGACCTTTAGACTGCATCAGAGACAGAATCTAGCCTCAATATAACATCCTACTCCAGAAATGCAGTGAGAGATAGGATTTGGGCCTGTTCATCCCATTCAAGAGCGTAAAAAGGGGCAGGCCCTGGGCCTGGCACAGGTTCCTAATCAAGAAACTGAAGCCGTAGACATGAGCAAACAGAAAATTAAAAACAGATCCTTCCTTAATAAGGAAATACTATCAGTTAAGGTAATCCCATAATAAAATCCCCAAGGAAGAAAATAAGTTTGAAATAATAGCGTATACACAGTAGATAGACCTATGAATGGATATAAGCATTCTGGAAAGCAATTTGGAATTATACACAAAAAGTTTCATGTCCTTTGACCTACTTGTACCACTGTTAGGCCTGTTACATCCAACAAAGTGCAAAGAAATAGGAAAGGATATTATACATACAAAAATATTTATAGCAGCTCTTTTTGTGGTGGTAAAAAAATCTAAAATTAAAAAGATGCCCATGAATTTTGGAATGGTTAAATAAGTTGTGGTATATGAATGTGATAGAATACTATTATTGTATGAGAAATGAAGGAATAAATGATTTCAAAGAGACGTGAAAAGTCTTATATAAACTGATGCAGAGTTAAATAATCAGAACCAAAAGAACAATTTGTACTATGTCAATATTATAAACGTGAACCATTTTGATGACTGTTATAAACTGATGAAGAATGAAATAAGCAGAAACTAAAGAACAATGTATGTAGTACGACAATATTGCAGACATACAATTTTGAATGCCTTATGAGCTGTGATCAATACAGTGACCATCCATGATTCTAGAGGGCCAATGATGTAGCATGCTTTCATCTCCTGACAGAGAAGTGATTGATTTAGGTTGCATAATGAGACATCTATATCTATCAATCACCTATCTCTCTCTTGTACATATGTATGTGTAGTATAGAGCTGAGGGAATTTGTTTTGCTTCACTATGCATATCTATTATAAGGAATATGCTTTTTTATCTATTTTCAATGTAATTGGGGGGGTCAGAGAAAGAGAAAATAAACATGTTAATTTTTTTTTAAATAAAGAGGGAGTGGGTACTATGGAATATTATGGATGTTGCAAGCACCTTCAGATGACATAACCATATTGTTTGTTTTTGCTTTGTGTTTGTTACAAGAGACCTCTTATGGAATGGAGGCAATCTGTAAATGTTTGTAATATAAAAACAAAACACATCAGTAATAAATGTTATGAGAAATGATCGTGTAATTCTCGGAAAAAAAAAGAATGGATTAGCCACAAAGGACTCCAAGGATGGAAGGAAGAAATGAAGAGCTTAAGCAAGAAATAGAAAATGAAATAGCTTAAGACAAAAAGTAGATACACCTTAACCAAGTGTGTGATACCTTAAAAAATGGGTGGAGTGAAGAGAATTCAGTGATTCAATGAAGCAACAAGAAATACTAGAACTAAGTTAAAAATTGAAAAATTAAATGAACAAATGAGATATTTACTATCAAAACAGGTAACCTCAAAAACACAAAAAGAATAGTTAATTGCGGATTATTGAACTTCCCCAAAATAGGGTCAAACAAAATATTTGGTTACCATACTCCAAAAAATAATAAAATAAAAACTGCCTGCAACTGTTAGAGCCAGAAGACAAAGTGAAAATAGAAAGAATCTACTGGTCACCTCCTGAAAGTTATCTCAAATTGAACACACCAAGTTATCTCAAATTGAACATACCTAGAAATGTCATAGCTAAAATCTAAAGTTTCCAGGTCAAAAGAAAATATACTTCAGGCAGTCATGGAGAAAGAGATCAGGCAGGAAGCAACCACAGTAAGACTTAATAGCAAATACTATAAAAGACTTTCAAGCATTCTTGTTGAGATAATAGAGTTAAATGGAATCTTTAAAATAAATTCAGGAGACAAAAGAAACCCCAAAAGGCTGTTATTTTACCTGCCTAACAAAATAGAAGAAGCATTAGCTATCTTGATATAAAAAGAGGAAAACTAAATTACTAAAACAAAACAAAAAAAAGAAAGAAAAAAGAGAAACCACAGCAGATGAAGAAGAGGAAATTGTTAGAAACTATTTCTCCCTTTACATGGCCAAAATGCTGATAACTTAAGATATATAGATGAATACTTACAAAAATATAAAGCATTCAGATTAACAAAACAAGACTTGATTTCAGTAAATTTCAATAACTCAATTTCAGTAAAAGAAATTGAACCAGACATAAGCTCCCAAAGAAAACAATCCCAGGCTCAGATGAATTTACAAATAGATTCTATTATATATTCAAAAGAGGCAGCCAGATGACACAGTGGATAAAATGTCAGGTCTGAATTCAGGAAGACTCATCTCCTTGAGTTAAAATCTGGCCTCAAACACTTACTAGCTATGTGACTCTGGGCAAATCACTTAACCGTGTTTGCCTCAGTTTCCTCATCTGTAAAATGAGCTGGAGAAGGAAATGGCAAACCACTCCAATATCTCTGCCAAGAAAACCTCAGATGGGGGTCATGAAGAGTCAAACATGACTGAAATGACTGAAGCACAAGAACAAAATATATTCAAAGAACAATTAACCCCAATACTACATAATTTTTTTGAAAAATAGAGGTGGAAGGCAATTTACCAAATTACTGTTATGAAGCAAATATGGTTTTGATTCCTAAAATTGAGATGTAAATCAAAGAAAGAAAGCTATTGACTAGTATCTCTAATGAATATGGATGCTAAAATATTGATTAAAATGTTAGCAATTAATAAAATTAGTAAATTAGTAAAAAGAAAGTAAAGAAAATGTTAGTAAAATTTAGTGTAACATATGCAAAAGATTATTCACCTTAATCAGATTGGATTTACAGAAAAGAAGGGGTGGTTCAACTTTAGGAAAACTCGAAACAAATAGACCATGTATATATATATATATACATATATATATATATACATTTTTTTTTTGGTTAGGCAATGGGGTTAAGTGACTTGCCCAGGGTCACACAGGCAGTAAGTGTTATGTGTCTGAGGCCGGATTTGAACTCAGGTCCTCCTGAATCCAGGGCCAGTGCTCTATCCACTGCGCCACCTAGCTGTCCCAATAGACCATATATTTTTAAAATCAATAAAATAATGATTAGATCAATAGATGCAAAAAATTTTTTGGGCAAAATATATCTCTCATGTATGTTTAAAATGCCAGAAAGTATTATAATGAACAAAATCCTCTGTTTAATATTCAAAGTTCCTCATAACCTGCCTGTCTCCTGCCTTTCTAGTCTTCTTATGTCTTACCCCCATGTACTCTGGGATTCATTGATAGTGGCCTCTCTGCTGTTTCTCAAACAAGCTACTCTGTCTTCTAACTTTGCATTTTTCACTGTCTATCTTCTGGGCCTGGGATTCTCTCCTTCCTCTTCTTCACCTCCTGGCTTTCTTAGCTTCCTTCAAATCCCAGCTAACTCCCACCTTCTATGAGAAGCCTTTCCTCATCTCCCTTAGTGTTGATGCCTTCCTTCTCTTGATATTTCCAATTTATCCTGTATATATTTTATTTGTACATAGTTATTTTCATAGTTTGTTGATCTCTTTGAGGGAAAAGACTGCCTTTTGACTTTCTTTGTATTTCTATTGCTTAGCACAGTGCCTGGTGCATTGTAGGCACTGAATAAATGCTTATTGACCAGTTGACTTTTCTTAGGATGGTAAACAGTATTGTTAAACAACAATGACAACAACAACAACAATAATAACCAAGAACTAGCATTGTCTGTAATGGAGAAACACCATAGTCTTTTCTAATTTAAAGCTATGGGGTAAAGCAAGGGTTTTGTTGTTGTTATTCAGTCATTTCAGTCATATCTGACTCTCCATGTTTCCATTTGGAGTTTTCTTGGCAAAGATACTGGAGTGATTTGCCATTTCTTTCTTTAGCTCATTTGACAATAAAGAAACTGAGGCAAACAGGGTTACGTGACCTAGGGTCACACAGCTAGTAAGTATCAAAGGGCAGATTTGAACTCACGAAGATGAGGTATCTTGACTTAGCATAAGATAAGGTGGAATCAGGAAATGGATGGGGTTTGAGTCTTGGTTCTGCCATTTACTAGCTGCATGACCTTGGGCAAGTTATTTCCCTACTTGGACCTCAGATTCCTCCTCTGTAAAATGAGAAGTTTAGACTAAATTATTTCTGTAGTCCTGTCTGATCCTTATAATCTATGATTCTGTACCAAGTCCAGGATTATATAGGTAAGGATCTGAGGAGTTTAAAGGAGGAAGAAGTCATTGTGGGCTGGAGAAGTCAGGGAAATCTTTAAGGAAAGAGGATAGGACTTGTAGAATTACCTCTGGAATGGAAAGGGTGCCTTTGAGTACCATTCCTATCTTTTCTCTGTCTTGATCAAGTTCTTTGACCCTTCTAGGATGACTGTTTTTACCATGGAAAAGTGAGAAGGGAAGAACAATCCAGTGTTACACTCAGCACCTGCAGAGGCATCAGGTAAGTAGAGCTGGGCCCCTCATTCCTGCCTCATGGTGTGGTAGAGAATGGAGAACTTACCCCCATCTCCCACCAAGTATCCTGTCACTCTGCTGAGGCCTCCCATCCTTCCTTTCTGCAAACTGGATTTAAAAAAAAAAAGACGTGATTTCTTTGATTTTGGTCACTTCCATTGAGAAAGCTCCCTCCAGCAGTGCAGGGCAGAACCTGTTCTACACTTTAGAGACTTAGAGATTTGTCAGGATACTGAGAAGTGACTTGTCCATCACCATACAGTCAGTCTGAGTCTGAGGTCTTCATACCTCAGAGGCCCTCTATTGCCTCTCTTCAAATTAGATAAGAGAAATATGGGCTGTCTTTTTTCACTATTTTTATTGTGTTAGGTAAAGACTTGAGTGGTTTCTTCTTAGGGCAGAGCCAGCCAGCCTGGAAAACCCACAGACTTACTTGAAAGACTTGACCAGAGAGGACTTTGGAAAGGAGATGATACATTTAGCCTTAGCTTAGAAGCAGCTAGGTGCTAGGTGCTGTGATGCAGAGGTACCAAACTCACTCAAGGCTATAAAAATCCAGAGTGCTGCTCCAACCAGATTAAAATGTAATTAGAGGGGTAACTAGGTGGCACAGTGGATAGAGCACCGGCCCTGAAGTCAGGAGGACTTGAGTTCAAATCCAGCCTCCCACTAAACACTTGACACTTATTAGCTGTGTGACCCTGGGCAAATCACTTAACCTCAATTGCCTAAGAAAATAAATAAATAAAAAATGTAATTGGAAAATCTCTAATAAAATAAATTAAAATGCAAAGCAATGTAAATAATGTTAATTTAATGTTAATGTTAATTTGTGGTTTTCTAAGTCAATATGTAGCCTGCAGGGATCCATTTCTATTTGTGTTTGACAGCACTAGATAACACTAGACCTGGAGTCAGAGAGACTTGAATTCAAATCTATCCTCAGACACTTAGTAGCTGGGTACCAAGTCACTTAACAGCTTACTACCTTAGCTTCCTCATCTGTAAAATAGGGATAATAATAATACCTGTCTGCCAGGATTGTTGTGAGGCCAAAATGAGATAGTATTTGTAAAGCACTTTGTAGTCTTTAAAATGCTGCTATTGTTATTCAGTCATTTCAATTGTATCTGACTCTTCATGACCCCATGTGGGTTTGTTTGTTTTTTTTTTTGGCAGAGATACTGGAGTGGTTTGCTGTTTCCTTCTCTAGGCCATTTTACAGATGAGGAAACTGGGGCAAACAGGGTTAAGTGCCCTTGAGTCACATAGCTTGCCCAGGGTCACATAGCTAGTAAGTATCTGAGGCCAGATTTGAACTCAGATCTTCCTGACTCTAGGCCCATCCACTCTGCCACCTAGCTGCCCTATATAAATGCTAGTTAGTGAGTAAACATTTATTAAGCATCTACTGTGTGCCAGGCACTGTACCAAGCACTAAAGAAAAGCAAAAGGCAATCCCTGCTTTTGAGGAATTCACAATCTAATGGAGGAGAAAAATGGAAACAACTATGTTCAGATGAACTATATACAGGATAAATTGGAAGTAACCAAGAGAGAGAAGGTCCTACCATTAAGAGGGATCAGGAAAGGCTTCTTGTAGAGAGTGGGATTTTAGTGAGGACTTGAAGGGAGCCAAGGAGGAGGAAATGAGGAGGGAGAGCATTCCCAGCATGGAGGACAGCCATGGAAAATGCCTGGAGCCAAGGGATGGAACGCCTTGTTTGAAGTACAGCTAAGAGGCCTACGGATCCAAGAGTAAGGTCTTAGGAGGGCCATAAGGTCTTAGGAGCCTGGAAAGGCGTTTTGGGAGGTAGGGTATGAAGGCCCTTGAATGTCAAACAAAGGTTTTTGTATTTTACCTGGACGTGATAGGGAACTACTGGAGTTTTTATGGTCAGGCCTGTGCTTTAGGAAAATAACTTTGGTGGCTAAATGGAAGATGGACATCATCATCCTCATCCTCATCCTCATTTTTTGCTGTCCCTGTTCCCAGAATCTCTTATTCTACTTCTTCCTTACCCCTCCCCCAACTCCTCCCCCAACCTTTTTTTTTTTAAGAAATATGGTTCCTTGCTTGTAGATCACCTTTTCAATGTGGCACCTTGTCACCCATCGACCCAGTCTTGCTGCTATCCTATCCGTGTTGGTTTATCTGATCCAACATTCGTGGTTCGTACATTTGCCTGGAATGTAATAAGCACTTGATAAATGCTTGTTGCTTTGCCTTGTCTTGCATATTCTGAAAGGGAGACATATTCTTCATTCCCTACACTGTGGCCCCCACATGTTTGTTTATAAATAGGACACTGATTGTTTAGGGTTGTCTCCATCCTAATATTGTTTGGCAAAACTCCTTAATGGGAATTCAAGCAGTCAGGAAACGAGGTTTGGCTGAGGGGCTGGAATGAAATGTTCCCCAGGTCCCCTCAAGTGACTTGAGCCCATAAACTGGATCAGCATGTTGGCAAACCAAGCTGAGCCACAGCCACCTGTGGTTCTCAAATAAATAAGATAGTTCCCTGGAAGAAGGGAAGGTGCAGGTGTGACCTGGTTCTCTTTAGCTGTCCTCTGTCTACTCTGGCAGGAGCTGCTGGAATTTGGCTTGGGCTCCTAAATCTCTTGTAAATCATTCTGGGAGCCTTGACAATGTGTGCAAACCAGCTGAAGCTTCCATATGTTTTCACTTTGTCTTCCCAGCTCAGTGGGGGCTGCTAATCCTTACCTTCTTCCCTGCCCCCATGTTCTCTTCCATCTCTCTCCTCTCCCTCCCCAGGAACCCAACGGTGCTTCCAGACCAGACACTGTTCCTGTGAGGCTGATTTAAAAGCAAGCGGTCCAGGGCCAGATGGCTCTAAGCTAACCCCAGTGGAGGAGTGGGACTGTAGCAGCCGCAGCTCCCAGATCCTTGCACTAACTCATGTAACACCACAGTTAGCCCTTGAGTCTTATTAAAGGAGCTCTGTAATGGAAAATCTCCATAGCAGTTGCTTTTCCTCTACTACAAACATGTTCTCTGTGACTTGGGGGAAATGGGCCTGATTTATACCATAAGAAATCTTCAGGCCCTGTGAAACAAGTGTGGAAGAATTCAGCCTTATTTCTTCTGGGGCCTGTTTTCAGCAGAGGCTGTTGCTAGGCTGCCTTGAGCCTTTCTTTTCCAGGGCTGTTTACAAGGCATAAGGCAGATGAGCTGCAGGTACAGGACCAGGAAGAGGAAGGGTAGGGGGATGGAAATGCACTCAAAGAAGCAGTAGATTTGGGTTTGAGGCTCAGCTCTGACACTAGACATGTGACCCTGGGCCAATGACTTCACCTTGTCTACTTGCTTCCTTAAAAAAGAAGAGTGTGTAATAAGATACTCCTTACTCTGCTACCTCACGGGTTGTTGGGTTGAAATAGAAAATGGATGGGAAGATACCGTGTAAACTGGAAAGGGCTACATAAATGGAAGGTGGTGTTATTATCATTTGCTTCTTGGCTCCCGGTCCTGGAAATACTGGCTGGCAGGCTTTGGCTCGAAGCCCTGCTCTGCTGGGAGATTTTTATTAATGGTTTCCTTGGGTCCCAGATCAGAATGAGTCCATGGTAGGACTGGATTCCTTAACTGCTGTTCCTAGCTCTGGGCTCTGCTTAAGGTAGTAATACCTCTCACTCTCTGTGGGAGCCAAAATCCACATTCCTTACCCCTTTATAATGGTTCCGGTTTCAGGGATCAGGCAGAAGAAAGGATTTTGGTCCTCAAAGAGCAGACAACAGGAATGCCTCCCTTTTCTTTCCCTCCTTCCCCTCAAATCCCCAGGGTGGGTGAGACAAACACTACTCATGAGCCTCACTTATTTCCCACCTTTCCTCTTTTTTTTTGAGCCCTTCCCTCTCTGGGCACCATCACTGAGTTTCACCTTGCTTTAGGAGAGGACATTAACAACAACAAAGAATTGCTATGAGGGTGTGGAATGGTTAGAATGACAAAATTGGAGCCTTTCCCAGGAAAATTATCAGTCTATGATAAACAGCTCTTTTCTTCTCTTGCTCTCTGGCCTTTAATCTTGTTTTTATCAATAGTTTTTGTTTTTATATCACCTTTAGTTCCAAATATAACCTTTCCCCCTTCCCTCCCAGTGAGCCATCCCTTGGAATGCAGAATTAAAAAGAATAAGAAAAAAAATGGTTCAGGAAAATCAAGTAATCATCCGCCATATCTAATGGTATATGCAATATTCCATACCAATAATCTCCTGTCTCTGCAAAGAAGGGAAATAGGGCACATTTTCTCAATTTTTCCCTGGGACTAAACTTGGTCATTATAATTATACAGCATTCACTTTTATTTTTCTGAACAGCTTTCTCTTTCTGAGAAACATAGTTGTACTGAAGACTGGGAATAGAATCTTTGGGGGAATGACTCCAGGGTTGGTAACCTGTGAGAAAGGCAGTTAGCTCTCATTGTCAGCAGAAAGATCACCATCTATGGCTGAGCTCCTACCATGGATGGGTCATTGCTGTGCTAGATAATGGAGAATGCAGAGAAGTGAGAAGATCATAGATTTCGAGCTGGGACAAACCTTAGAGGGCTTTTAGTCTGTTCCCCTGAGATGAGAAAACTGAGGTTAGGTGACTTGTCCAAGGTCATACAGAGACTAAATAGCAAATTAGGATTTGAACCTAGGTCCTCTGTCTTTAATTCCTTTATTCTGCCCTCCAAAACACACTGTCTCCCAAAAGCAGGGGATCTTCATCTTTTTTGTGTGTGTTTGTTATGGGCCCTTTGGCAGTCTAGCGAAGCCTATGGACCACTTCTCAGAATGCTTTTAAATGAATAAAATTAGTAAGTATCTAGGATTACAAAAGAAAACCAAATATATTGAAATAGTTATCAAACTATTAAAAAAGTTGTGTACCTCATGTTAAAAACCCCTGCCTTATAGGAAATATATAAGATTTACCAATACCATGCTATTCAGCAAATATTTATTGAGTGCCTAC